GAAGTCAGGTAAGCTGCCTAATTAAGGAGAGGGACCAATAATGTGAGGTGTCTCAAATGGTCTTAGTATAGTTTCAAGTTTTAGTAGTTTAAAATTGCACTAAGGCTTTTGGAACACCCTGCAGAGCTGTGACTACTTTGTCTCAGAAAGAAAGTGGAAGTGGATTAGAGACACCTAAGGAAAATATCACACTTAGGGATTCTCAGAATCTCTCTCCCTATCCTTTCAGGACCCTTCCTGAGTATAATGAGTGGCTTAGGTATTGTGTGGGAGATAGTGATCTAATTTGGGGGTTCATTTGATATAAGGGTAGGGGCTGGCAAAGGGAAAACAGAGGGCATGCTTTGTGAGTCGGGTACTTGGAGGAAGGTCAAGAGGGTCTACCTGAAATTATAGACTCAAGGCTTTCAAGTAGAGGCTTGATAACCACTTTGTAGAGATATAAGAAAGGGGACATTTGTTCAGGTAGGGGTTGAACTATGTAAGGGAAGGAAATGAGCATTTATATAGTACTTAAAATGTATCAGGTACTACATTAAGTGCTTTTTAAAACACACACACACATACACACACACTCCTTGATTCTTCCAATAACCCTAGAAGATAACTGGTGTTATTATGCCCATTTCACCATTAAGGAAACTGAGAGAAACAGAGATTAAGTGATTTGTCCAGGGTCACACAGTTAAGAAGTATCTGAAACTGGATTTGACCTCAGCTTCCAGATTCCAGGCCCAGAGCTCTATCTACTGCACCAACAGCTGCCTCTGATGTCATCTGGTGAACTTGATGATACCTGAAATCCTTTCCAGTTCTGATATTTTGTGATTCTGAGTGAAGATGGGAGGCCAGGAACATGGTTTCCCCACCGGATAGTGAGAAAGACAGATTTAGGGTATTGCATGTGGATTCTATTAGCATTCCTTACTTAACTCCATCTCAGAGATGTCCTCTCTTCCTTTAAGATACAGCTCAACTACTATCTTTTGCATTAAAAATTACTTGATCTCTGTACTGTTAGTGTCTTCCCTTCCAAACTACGTTGTATTTGATGAATTTGTGTATATTTGCATTTGCTCATTTTATATTTATTACATATGCTTGTCTCCCCTATTATAATGTGAGTTGCTTTCAAGTAGGGATTGTTTCATTCTTTGAATATGTCTCCCCTGGTGTCTAGTATAGTGTCTGGCACATAGAAGGTACTTAATAAGTACTTCTTGATCGACTGATTTAAAGAATGCTTGGCATGAAAACCAATGAAGTTTGATCATCCTGAGAATATTTGTGTATGAAACTGGAAAGACAAAAAAAAAAGGGAAACAACTCTCAATACTTTTATGCCAAAGTCTTTGTCAGTGATAGTGCCACTATATTTGAATATAAGTGGGACATTATATCTGTTCCACAGAGCTCCCCCACACTTCCCTAGTGCTTTGTGGCCCTTTCCACTCCCTCACTTTGGCAGCTTCCCATTCCCCTGTACTGGTTTCCCTGCTTGGGGCCCAGCAGCAAGAGTGGCTTCAGTTCTTGGAGCAGGAGTGCCCTGCCTGGGAACTGGGATCTGGGAGCCTCTGGCCTAAGTCATATTCACTTAAAGTGAGAACTGTTTATATTTACATAGGAAGCAGTTAACCACAAATGGTATGTCATGCTAGGAGTTCTCCTCAATTCTAATCATTAATCGCTCATAAGATGATCACTCTAGAGTTGGAGAAGACTTTAGTGAATTACTGCCTATGTAAACCACAGACAAAAAAACTGAGTCCCAAGGAGGTTAGATACTTTGCCTAAGGTCAGTCAATAAACACTTAAGCACCTACTAAATGCCAGCCACTGTGCTAAATGGTAGATGGACAAAGCATGACAAAAGACAATTCCTGATGTCAAAGACCTAATGGGGGAGACAACATGTAAAAAGTTTTGTGCAGATAAACCGGATGTAGGGCAAATTGGAGATATCAACAGAAACAAGGCACTAGAATTAAGTTTTGCTCATTTTGTTCTGCATTAGTTCATAAAAGTCTTTCCAGTTTCCTCTGAAATTGCCCATTTCATCATTTTTGTGGCACAATGGCATTCTGTCACATTCTATTACATATACCACAGTTTAGCCATTCTCTCATGGAATAGCCCCTTAGTTTCCAATTTTTGTCCACCACTAAAAGAACTACTATAAATATTTTTGTATATATAGATCCTTTTCCACTTTCTTGGATTTCTTTATTGAATAGGCCTAGTAATAATATAGCTCAGTCAAAGAGTTCACATAGTTTGGTAACTTTCTAAATATAGCTCCATATTGCCTTCTAGAATGGCCAAACTAATTTACAACTGCACCAGCAATTCAGTAGAATACCTGTTTTCCTACAACCCCTCCAACATTTAAGTTTTCATCAAATAGTGAGTTATTTCCCTACTGAGGTCTTTGGGTTTATCAAACACTATGCCACTATGTTTGTTTCTTTTTGTGTATTGTATATCTAATCTCTTCCATTGATTGACCTCTGTTTTTTTAAACTAGTACCAAATAATGATTTCTGCTTTTGTTTGTTTTTGAGATCTGATTGATCTGTCTGGAGATAGATTCCCCACTCCCTACCCCCACCTTCTCACTTTTTTTTCATTATTGTTCTTGAGATTCTTAATGTGTTTTTTTCCCCTACTCATATGAATTTTGTTATCATTTTTTAGCTCTATAGAATATTCTTTGGAGGATTAGATACAGTATTGAATAAATAAATTAATTTAGGTATTTTTATTATGTTGGCTTGACTTATACATTTGTACTTAATGTTTCTATAATTCTTTAGAACTGTCTATTTATGCAAAGAGTATTTTAGAATTGGATTAATCTTGGTAGATATACTACCAAATGTTTTATAGAATCTGTGGTTATTTGCTCTACATCTTGTTGGGCTTTGTTAGTTATATGTATAGGAATATTTATTACTTTATGTGGATATAGCTTATATTTTTATATATTTTTTCAATTTTTTAAAGTTAACTCTAGGATTCTCTTAAACACATTATATATCATCTAGAAAAAAAACCTATTTTTTCTTTATCTATGCTTATTCTTTCCCTACAAAGTATCAGATAATTTAGCTTGGTAGCACTGACCTCTTTGTGGTTCCCTGAATAAGATACTCTGTCTCTTTAACAGGTCCTTCAAGAATGAAGGACAAATAACAACAACAAGAAGAACAACTCCATCTCTTAGCTCTGGGCATTTTTTTTCTGGCTGTCCCTTATGCCTGGAATGCTGTCCTTTCCCATCTCTGTTTTCTGACTTCCCTGGCTACCTTCAAGTCCCAGCTAAAATGCTAATTATAGAAGAAGTCTAGTGCCTTTTCCTCTATGGATTTTTCCTATTTCTCTTGTATATAGTTTGTACATATTTGCATATATGTTATTTCCTCCATTAGACAGTGAAGTACTGGAGGATAAAGAATGTCTTTTTCCTTTCCTTGTATCCCCAGCATTTAGCGCAACGCCTTGGCACATTGTTGTTATTTCAGTTGTGTCCAACCCTTCGTGATTTCACTGGGGTTTTCTTTGCAAAGATACTGGAGTGATCTGCCATTTCCTTCTCTAGCTCATTTTACAGATGAGAAACTGAGGTAAGTAGGATTAAGTGACTTGCCCAGGGTTATACAACTAGTAAGTGTCTGAAGAGGATTTGAACTCAGGAAGATGGGCCTGCAGAATCTCCAGCATCACAAAGAGGTCTGAGCACCCTCCAGTCACCCACTAGCCCCGCCTTCCAACCCAAGTCTCCTTCCCACCCTGCCCTGCCCCCAGGCATCCGAGGCCTCACCTCCAAGTACCCTCTCCTTTCCTCTCCTCTGGAATATGGCTCTGAGTATATATAGCAGTTGCTTTTGTTTTGGCTAGAAACCCTGAAGGTCTTTCCCTCCCAGATTGACTTTTTTTTTGGACTATGTAAAATTTCTTACCTAGCCTTAATCACTGAATGGGTGTTGCCTCAGACAAACTGAGACCTGGGAAAGATCTTAGCTTAAAAAGGCCAAGGTCTCCCACAGCATCTAGGGCCATCTTTAGTCATCCTGACTTATGTCTTGCCACTGGACCCAGATGGCTCCAGAGGAGAGAGTGAGGCAGGTGACTTTGCACAGCCTTGCCTCATTTAAATCCAATTTTCTTGCAAGTCATGATATTACTTTCCTGATGCCATTGATCCTCTTCAAGAATGAAGTACAAACAAGAACAATAACAGGGGGAAGGGAGAAGATATTGGCAGCTCAAGTGGGGTGGGGGGGGCAGACCAGTGATGCAGACAGGGAGGCCAAGTGAGGACCCACCTTTGTCCATCACTCCCAGTCAGCAACAGGCCCACCTCCCCCTACCCCCAAGGGGAGGTACTTGGCCTGGTTTGAGCCCCATCACTTCAGAGTTAGAAAGGGCTTTAGTAGTTATCTTGTCTATTCCTCCAGGATTGACTGTGTTGCTCTGATAGGAAACATGTGAGGAGCATGTGGAAGAAGCTGGAAATGAGCCTGGTTTCTTGAAGGATATGTCAAACAGTTTTGGCGGGTCCTACCAAAAGAGTTTTTGAGAACAGAAATGATGATGGGACTTTATGTCTGTCCTTCAAGTTTTCACTTCAGTTCAAGAAAGGATTATCACCAGATATTTAATTTTTTTACATAGACGTTTTTAGAAAACACAATTAAAGTTACAGAGATATAATCTTCAGGGGGCAAAATCTGCATCCACACAGATGAAGTGTTTTAAGAAAAGTTCAAAATCAACCATTGAGATTTGAGTTTATTCATATTGTCTATTCGAGAAAGAATCTCATATCTCTTTTTTAAAGACTTCTAAAGAAGTCCCTTCCACAAAAGCTCTAGTTAAAATATTCCATTACTCCATAAACCACTGAATCATGGAATCTTGCTAATGCCTTTATTGCTTCCACCTATTTCTTGGCTGGACAGCATCTGAAAAATTATTCTCCTGGAACACATTCTCTAAAGTCATTTCTGTCTTGGAAAAAACACATGGACCAATTTGTTTCTGATCTGTTTTGTCTTGACCCCATAGATGATGGGATTTAGCATGGGTGGGGCCAGAGCACACACGTTGGCTAATAGGATATGGACATGAGGTGGGATATGGTGCCCAAAACGTTGGGTAAGAAATGTGAAGATTCCTGGAACATAGAAGAGGGCAATGACACAGACGTGGGAGCCACAGGTGTTGAGAGCTTTGTGACGAGCCTCCCTGGAGGGAATACGGAAGACAGCTCAGAGAAGCAGCCCATAGGAAGTTGCTATGAGGATAATATCTAGGACTATAGTTGTTAAAAGGACAAACACTCCATACCAGATATTCACACGGATGTCATCACAAGCATACTTGGCCAAACCAATGTGTTCACAGGTGGTGTGGGGAAGAATGTTATTTCTGCAGAAAGTCAGTCGAGTCAGCAGGAATATGATAGAAAAAATGGTGCCAATGCTTCTTAACAGGACGGCCAAACCAATGTTTCCAGTGACGAAATTGGTGAGGATCATGCTATATCTCAGAGGGTGGCATATTGCAATGTATCGATCAAAAGCCATCACTAACAGAAACCCTGACTCTGTAATATATGTAGAGTGAATGAAGAACAGTTGGGTAATGTACCCACTAAGGGAGATCTCCCTGGCATTGAACCAAAAGATGGACAATGATTTGGGTACAGTGGTGGTGGAGAGGACAATATCAACAGCTGCCAGCATGGACAGGAAGAGATACATGGGCTCATGGAGGGTTCTCTCAGTGAAAATGATATAGATGAGGAGGGAATTCCCAATGATGGCAGTAAGATAGGATATCAGGAAAGGGATGGAAATCCACATGTGTTGGTCCTCCAGGCCAGGTATACCTACTAGGATGAAGATGGTGTGGCTAATACTGGTATGGTTGAGATTGGCCATACCTGGGATGGGTCGCCCTGTGGATTCTGTCCTGTGGAAAGAAATACCATCTTTGTCCATCACATAGGTTCAAGGTTAGGCAAATACAGAAAATAGGTGAAATTTCTCTTTGGCTTTGGTGAGCACCAGGCTTTGACAGGCTCTACTTCCCTAACTGGGTACCTTATCCAGAACAGGTTCCCTTTGATGTTGGTGTTGTTCTCTAACACCTAGTTAGGTCAACCTCAACCTTTTGAATTCCCCCAATGATCAAAACTTATCTTGCAGGAGGGCAGTGGTGACTTCAACAGTGAGAAGACTGCTGTTCAAAGAACAATGCTTCAGTGCCTCCTCTGGAGAGTTTGCAGTTTTCTTCAAATCTATTTCCCTTTTCAGTTGTTCATGTGAGCCTGAACTTTCAAGAAGGTCAGAGTTGTTCATAGGAGCTGTATAAATACCTTAATTTCTCCAGTATGGGTATACACAGAACTTCTTGGCTCTGAGTAGGATACATTGCTGTGTAGGTAGAAGATTCCCACTGTCATAGACTGTTTCCTCCTCAACTCCAGGTTACCATAATTTTCTTTTCTCTGAGGTCCCTCAGTTTCCCTTGCCATTATTCCAGAGATGGAAGAGAGGTTGAAAGCATAGTTTCCTTCTTTCCTTCCTTATTTTTTTTCTCCTCCCCTTTATATCTTGAGCTTATACTAAAAATTGGGACCATTTCTGTCAGATTTTTATTTCCTAGTTCATATATGTAGTCAAGGACCACAATATGAGTGATGAGGAATTGGTGAAATTGATGATGGGCATAGATTCACCCTGGAACCATCAGCTGTTAATGTCAGATCTGTTTCAATTCCTATAGCCATTACATATTAGCTTTGTAATGATACAACTCATGGAAAGCCATAAGCTACATCAAAGTCAGGCATTCCATAAATGTTCTGGATTCCTTAGTCCTCATTCATTTATCTAATGCCTTACACTTAGCAGTCAAACCAACTCACCTCTGGAACTAATAGGATTTTTCTCAGTTTACAGTTATTTTAAATGGAATTTCCCTTTCTGTTTCTTGCTGTTGGTCATATAAATAAGTGCTGATGATTTATGTGGATTTAACCCTCTGCTTCAAATGTGTTTCTTGTAAACAACAGATTGCAGGATTCTGGTTTTTGATCCACTCTGCTATCTGCTTCCATTTTATGGGAGAGTTCATCCCATTCACATTCACAGTTATGATTACTACCTGTGTATTTCCCTTCATCCTGTTCTTCCTGTTTGTCTTCTCTCTCCTTTCATCCTTTCCCTCCTCACCAGTGTTTTGTTTCTATCACTTCCCCTGATCTGCCCTCCCTTCTGTCAGTCCCTCCCCCTTTACTTAATTTCTTCCACTCCTACTTCCCTGTAGGATAAGATGGATTTCTACATTCAACTGATTGTATATATTATTCCCTCTTTGAGCCAATACTGATGAGAGTAAGGTTCAAGAGATGCCCATCACCCACCCTCCCATTCTGGTTCATTTTCTAGGCTTGTTTTGAGTAGTTTTAGGTGAATATTCAGGGGACCAGGCAGTATGGAATTTGCTATACTTCTTGCTCCTCCACAATCTTGGCTTTAGCTTCAGTTACTTCTTTTTTACTTCAGTTGCTTTTGGGGAATACTGGATCCTCCTTGGCTCATGGAATCCAGTGAGAGACCATGAGGTAAGGTGAAAAGTCTTAGAGCTTTCTCAGCCTTGTGAACATATGGCCCTATGAAACAGTATTTGATCCTTAGTTCGTTCATCTGTTCTTTTCTCTTCTAGGTGAAAAGAGTAGAATCTCTAACTCTGAAAGTTTCAAAGGAGAAAGGATAGATGAAAGGGAAGGAAGGAGGAAAGGAAACAAATATTAAGTACTTATTATGTACCAGATGGACAGCTAGGTGGCACAGTGAGTAGAGTACTGAGCCTGAAGTCAGGAAGAATCTGACCTCAGACACTTACTAGCTGTGTGATGGGCAAGTCAGTTAACTCTATTTACCTGAGTTGCCTTACCTGTAAAATAAGTTGGAGAAGTAAATGGCAAACCAAACTCTAGTATCTTTGCTAAGAAAACTCCAAATGGTGTCATGAAGAGTGGGACATGACTGAAGCAACCGAACAACAACAGAAGCTAATTTATATTAAGCTGTTAAATGGAAGTGCCTTGCTTGTCACAGTCCCCCAACATGGGGGAGAACACAATAAGTGAGGTTGGAAAGTCATGAAGTTGAGAAAGAGAAAAAAATCCGGTTTCTCAGGGTATCCTAGCACCCTGAGATAGATGGACTGCCTCTGGAGAAGGGAGCCAAAGCATACTTGCTAAACATGCTTTTGTGGCCTACTATATTGAACCTGCTATTGTGATTCAATTTGTTCATGGAACTTTTGGTAAAAGGTTAATATTTCCTTTATTAATGCAGGGCAAAAACTCATCTGAGTAATCTTAGAGAGTTGCTTAGGATTCTGAAAGGTTAAGTCATTTCTCATGGTCACACACAAAATATGAATCAGATATAGGATTCAAATCCAAGTATTCTTGACTCCAAGGCCAGCCCTCTATGCTCTATGCCATGCTGCCTCTCCTATCAAGTCAATAAATTTACCAAAAAAAAATTTATTAAGTGTTTATGTGCCAGTCACTATGGTAAGAAAAGCAAAAACAGTAGTGGTCAGACAGATAGGACAAATCTAGGAGACAGCAATGCCACAAAAACCTAGAAATATGGGAGTATCAAGAACAGTACGAGGAAAGGAAGTGAAGACATCAATTCTAGACAACTTTCTGAAGGAGTTTAACCACAAAAGAAGGAAAAGATATGGGATGAAAACTAGCAGGGGTAGACAATTCAAGAGAAGGGGTTTTTTGAGAATGGAAAAGACATGAACATGTTTGTAGGTAGGAAGGAAGAAGTGAGAAGGGTGAAAGTAGAGGCATTGGTTATAAAGGGTTTTCTCAAGGAATTTAACCCTAAAAGATGGGAAAGAGTTACAGGATGATAGCTAGAGGGGAACAGAAGAATCAAGAGGGTTTTTTGTCTTTTTTTTTTTTTGAGGATTGGAAACATAGGTATATTTATAGGCATTAGGTAAGCAGCCAGTTGAGGGGGTGGGATTGGAGAATAGTGAGACAATTAAAAAATAGAAGGGGTTATCTGCTGGGGAAGATAAGATGGAATGGGATCACTTTTGTGTTAGTGGAGTTTGCCTTGGAAAGGAGAAGGGCTATCTCTTCACGTGAGACAACTGGTAAAAAGGATATAATGGTGGAAGGCATATGAAAGATGTAAGACATGGAGAGAAGAGGGAGTTCTCACTGAATGTCCTCATTATATAACTACTTATAAATGTATGTGTATTTATACACCCTTAAAACAGAAATACTGATGCGTATTTATAGAGCAAACGGTATCAAAAATGTTTACCTTTGGAAGAGATGTCTGAGTCCAACGAGCTCAAAAGGTCTCAACTTATTTTGTTTCATGGACCACTTTGGAAGACTGTTGAAGCCTATGGATCCCTTCTCTGAATAATATTGTTTTTAGATATATGAAGGAAATGACAAATTTCATTTAGCAGTTGCAATGAAATAAGCAGTCACTCACGATTCACCTGAAAGACTCAGTGAAGGGAAACCCCCTACCTTATGAGACAAGTTTGGCCAAGTACTTCCCTCCTCCAGCAGTGGGCAAAAGAGTGGCCTGGGTGGACTGCTTTACCTACAAAAGTGTCAGCTTGGGGCAGCTAGGTGTCGCAGTGGATATAGCACCCGCCCTGAAGTCAAGAGGACGCAGTGTGACCTTGGGCAAGTCACTTAACCCCAATTGCCTCACTAAAAAAAAAAAAAGAAAGAAAAGAAAAAAGAAAAAAAAAGTGTCATGCTCCTTGCCTTTCCTCCCTCGGCCTTTCCCGAGATACACTGTATCCAGAGAGAAGTGGCCTTGTGCAGCCTTGGTGAAGTTCCCGGATGTTTCTGTAACCTGTCCTTCTCGAGCCCCTTTCTCAGGCCCCCTCTCTCCTTTTCTCCCCTCCCAGCTGCTCGCGCATGCCTCTTTCGGAGTTCGGTCAGGACGACCTGGGTTTCCGGAAGTTTGTCACTTCAGGAGAGGAGCACTTCCGGTCCTTTTGGTATAGTTAGGTACAACTGACTTCACCTTTTCATTTGGTGTTCCTCTCCTCGGATCTTTGCTCGGGCCTTGCTGCGCCTACGCCATCCCTTGCTGGTCTCCAGGCTGTCAGTGTAACTGCCTGGGCGCAGCGGCCGCTGTCCCTGTGCAGGTGCTGAAGATTCCCCGAGGGCTCCGAGACTGGATAGATGGGGGAGCTGGCGAGGACGGTGAGCATGGGGCTGCCGGGCCGGGAACGGGGAGGATACGAGGTGTGGGGAGGAGAGGGTGAAGCGCTGTTTGGAAATGAAATTAACCAGACCAAGAATGGACTAGTCGGGCGGTCTGGAAACATTTAGAAAGGCCGCCCGCCTATCTTTTCACTCCGTTGCTTTTCTGGTTATATGTGCTATGTAGAATACCACAGTCTCCAAAGAATTCAGACTGGGCGGCAAAAAGAACAATGGAGGGACATATGATGGGTATAAACACGCCCCAACACATCCCCTGCAAAGCGTTGTGCGCAAGAATTAGTGTGAAAACTATTATCTAGGTTTATGACTAGAATACGAGGTGGGCTGAATGGAGTAAGAGGTGGACAGCTTCCAGGCAGCATTTGGTCCCTTATGTGATACGAGACTTAGACAAATGTAAGGAACCAGTGGCCTGTTAGAGAGAGCAAGGGGACAGTGTTTAGAATAGGAAGACCTTTTAGCCTAATAAGCCATTTTTATGTATTGCTTGCTGGATCAACCTACCCCAAATAATGTTGATCAACAATGAAGAATGTTTCTGTAATATGGATAACTAATGAATATCTATAGTATGATTGTTGATTTTAGTGTTGTCCATCTAATTGTAGTATGTATGTACTTGATTTGTGTTTGGGG